CTTGCCTCGCTCTTCCGTGTGACCTGTCTGGTCCTGTTGGACGTGTGAGGACGTAATTCCTGTGTCAGACCCTAAGTGCTGTGAAGCCAGGACCGTGTCTGTTGCCTGCTTCACAACTGATCTCGGCGACTAGCATAAGATTTGGCATGAAATAAGGCACTTAGGAATCTTGTGAGGGGTCAGGGAACAAATGCAGCTGGCGGCCCTGGTCCTTGAGTCATCCACCGTCAGAGAAGCCATTTAAAGTCGGGAGAGAACAAGGAGCCCAGCCTTTCTTCCTTCTCTCACTGCACCTCCATTCTGCATACAGTCTTCCTCTCCGTCACGTTTAATTTCAGGGAAAGTTTAGCCCTCTAGGGCCCGTCACGGGACTATTATCACCAGTTGCCCTCAAGTCGACTCTGACTTATGGCCTCCCCATGTGTGTCAGAGTAGAACTGTGCTCCATAGGGTTTCCAAAGGTTGATTTTTCAGAAGTCGATCCCCAGGCCTTTCTTCCAAGGCGCGTCTGGCGGGCCTCAAACCGCCAATCTTTTGGTTAGCAGCCGTGCGCATTAACATGTGTGCCACCCAGAGCATCCCGTCACAGGATGGAACAGGTAAGATGCGGCGGTCAGTTGTGTGGTTTTACAATGCTGAGCTCATCCAGCCCACAGCACACCCTGTGGGCACTGGGCCCTGGGTGGGGCCTACTTACGTCTGATGGAGTATCCTGGGGAGTGGGCGGCCACGATGTGCAGGACTGTGCAGCCATCCTTGTCCGTCTGGTTGATGCGGCCTTTCCACTCTGGCTTCTCGGTCATTACCCACCTGAAAAGGTGGTTTCCCCCTGAAGAGAATTAAGATGAGTTACGAAGGTTATTTTCTATGTACAGAAAATCAGCGTAGCAAATCGCTGTGTACCACACCAAGAGACCCAAATGGGGAATCTAACAGACTTTTTCACTCACCACAAACAAGGATGGAGAGACACAGGGGTTGGTAAAATTGAAAGGATGAGTTCCAGAAAGCTATTCATAATAATCTTCCGTCAGGTTCCCTAGATGCTGAGCCTGAGGCAGGGATTCTTGTGCAACGGAGCCATTGAGAGAGAGAGAGATCTCAGGAGAAAGAGCATGAGGGAAGGGGGCAGGGGAAGGGGCTAAGCCACGTGTGGTCTCAGCTGCAGTCCACTGCAGCCTGTGCCCACGGGGAGCTCTGGAGCGTGAAGTGCCCCACAGAGCTGCTCCCACCTTGAGGCAATGAAGCGGGCCTTTTGTCCTCCCTGTCAGTCAGTCATGAGCTAGAGAACGCACACGGGGAGCGAGGCAAGATTCAGGAAGTGGCCTCCCTGGGAAGCGGTCTCCGTAGAAGGGGCAGCTGTGAGTTGTCAGCAGCTGGGGGCAGGGGCACCAGTGGTACAGGGGATCCGTGTGGGGCACCGGGGTTCCGTGTTCCTAGACAGATTCTGGCAGCAGGGCGCCCACT